GCTCCCACTTTCACTCAGGAATTTCAATCTTCTGGAACAAACGACAAGGTCTCTAATGCTCGTACTTTACCTGCTGACAATTCAAACACTGAGCCACATATACAACAATATCCTTGTTCATCCTCCTCCACCAATAATGTTGCCGCAAATGCTGATACATCTTAGCAGCACCCAGATGAATAGAGTACCAGGAACTATGGGCGTCCTCTAATATTAAATCTCGAAGCCCATCCACATTAGGTACACAAACTCGACCCTGCAGCCTTAAAACTCCATCATCTCCTAATGTAACCTGCTTGGAAACACCGTGCTGCACCGTGTCCCTAAGGACACACAAATGAGAGTCATCATACTGCCGATCTCGGATACGCTCCAATAAAGAAGAACGAGCGACTGTGCAAGCTAACACCCGACTGGGCTTAGAAACATCCAACCTCATGAACTAATTGGCCAAAGCCTGAATATCTAAAGCAAGCAGTCTCTCACCGACCGAAATATATGCAAGACTGCCCATACTGGCTGACTTCCTACTCAAAGCATCGACCACCACATTGGCCTTTCCCCAGATGATATAAGATGGTGATATCATAGTCTTTCAATAGCTCTAACCACCTTATCTGCCTCAAATTTAGCTCCTTCTACTTGAATAGATACTGCAGACTCTTATGATCCGTGAACACCTCACATGACACGCCATATAGATAATGCCTCCAAATCTTCAACGCGTGAATAATGACTGCTAACACCAAATCATAAACTGGATAATACTTCTCATGAATCTTCAACTGTCGTAAAGCATAAGCAATGACCTTGCCATCCTGCATCAACACCGTACCAAGTCCAATACGAGATGAATCACAATAAACTGTATATAGCCCTGAACCTGTGGGCAAAACCAACACCGGCGCCGTAGTCAAAGCTATCTTGAGCTTCTGAAATCCCACCTCACACTCGTCCGACCACCTGAACTGAGCACCCTTCTGGGTCAACCTGGTCATCGGGGCTACAATAGATGAAAACCCCTCCACAGATCGATGGTAATAGATTGCCAAACCCAAGAAACTCCGAATCTCTGTAGCTAATGCGGGTCTAGGCCAGTTCTTAACTGCTTCTATCTTCTTTGAATCTACCTGAATACCCTCTACTGATACAACATGACCCAAGAATGCAACTGAACTTAATTAGAACTCATACTTCGAAAACTTAGCATACAACTAACTATCTCTCAAAGTCTGAAGAACCACTCTCAGATGCTGCTCATGCTCCTAGGCTACGGAAATACATCAAAATGTCATCAATGAAGACTATCACAAACGAATCCAAGTAAGGCTTGAACACTCGGTTCATCTAATCCATAAAATTTGCTGGGGCATTGGTCAACCCAAATGTCATCACCAAGAACTCATAATGCCCGTACCGAATGCGAAAAGCTGTCTTAGGGACATCGGATGCCCTAATCCTCAATTGATGGTAGCCAGATCTCAAGTCAATCTTCGAAAACACCTTGGAACCCTGAAGCTAATCAAACAAATCATCAATCTTCGGCAATTGATACTTATTCTTGATTATAACCTTGTTCAACTACTGGTAATCTATACACATCCTCATCGACCCGCCCTTCTTCTTAACAAACAACACCAGCGCACCCCAAGGCGAGACACTAGGCCTAATGAAGCCTTTATCAAGCAAGTCTTGCAATTGCCCCTTCAATTCTTTCAACTTAGGCGGGGCCATACGATACGACATGATAGAAATGGGCTGGGTGCTCGGAGCCAAATTAATGCAAAAGTCAATATCCCTGTCGGGTGGCATACCTAGCAGGTCTGAAGGAAACACCTCAGGAAACTCATGAACAACAAGCACATAATCCATAGAAGGAACCTCAGCACTAGAATCACGAACATATGCCAAATATGCCAAACACCCCTTCTAGACCATATGTCGAGCCTTCATATATGAGATAACCCTACGGGTAGAATGAACAGGAGTCCCTCTCCACTCTAAACGAGGTAAACCTAGCAAAGCTAAGGTCACAGTTTTGTCATCACAGTCCAAGATAGCGTGGTAAGGTGATAACTAGTCCATCCCTAATATGACATCAAAAATCAACCATGTCCAACAGTAACAAATCTACTCGAGTCTCAAGACCCCCAATCACAACTATACAAGAACGATGAACACTTTCTACCATAATAGAATCACCCACCGGTGTAGATACATATACATGAGCACTCAAAGAATCACTAGGCATGACCAATATGGTGCAAAATAAGATGACACATAGGAGTATGTAGACCCTGGATCAAATAGAACTGAAGCATCTCAACTACAAACAAGAACAATACCTGTGAAAACTGTATTGGAAGCCTCAGCCTCAGGCCTGGCTGGAAGAGCATAACATCAAGGTTGGGCCCCACCACTCTGAACTACATCTATAGGATGACCTGCTGCTGGCTGGCCTCCACCTCGAGCAGCCTGACCTCCACCTATAATACCTATGCTTCCACCTCTAGCACATATACCTCCACCTCTAGCACCTCTACCTCCACCTCTAGTTGGCTGCACGGGCGATGGAACACTCGGTGCCTGCACCATGGCACGGGAACCCTGATGCTGAGAGCTGCTCGGTGCTCGAGTGCAAAATCTAACAATATGCCCAGTATCGCCACATGTATAATAAGCCCTCGACAGCTAAGACTGCTAACCCTGACGGCCTAAATAACCATTCTGAAAACTCTAGAGCGGAGGTGCACTAATAGGAGATGATAGTGCACTGTAGGGAAACTGATCAGAATACTGCATACGAGAACCACAGCCACCTAGAGCACCATGAAAAGCCTGAAGTGCTAAATGAAACGGCCTAGGAGGATAGCCCCTACCAAAAGAATCCCTACCTCTAGACGAGGCGCCACTGAACCTACCCGAATGACGAGGTCTCTTGTCAGACCCCTAACCACCCCCTATGATAAAACCATCTCAACTCTCCTGGCCACATTGGCCGCATCCTGAAAAGAAATCTCGCTTCCCGTCTCCTTAGTCATCTGAAGTCGAATAGGCTGAACGAGTCCCTCAATGAACCTCCTCTCTCTCTCTCTCTCTATATATATATATATATCAGTGGGAAGTATAAAATGAGCATGATGGGCCAAATCAATAAACCTGGTCTCGTACTGAGTAACAATTATAGAACCCTACCGGAGACGCTCAAACTGCCTCCAGTAGTTCTCCCTCTGAGTGATGGGAAGAAACTTCTCCAAAAATAGCTGAGAAAACTGATCCCAAGTCAAAGCTGGTGACCCAACTGGTCTAGCCAAACAATAATCTCTCCACCAAGTCTTGGCGGATCCAGACAAATGAAAAGCAGCAAAGTCGGCCCCATTGGTCTCCATTATCCCCATATTCCAAAGAACCTCATGACAACTGCCTAAATAATTCTAGGGATCCTCAGAAGATGCACCGCTGAAAGTGGTAGTGAAGAGCTTGGTGAACCTGTCCAACCTCCACAAGGCATCTGAAGATGTAGTTGATCCATCACCGGCCTGAGCTGTCGCTAGGCTGAAGAAGCGGGACAAGAGTAGGGGGTTCAATTTAGCAGTGAGAGAACAAAATCGCATGACAGAGAAGAATAGATCTGAAGTTTTTCCTTACTCTGTAGCCTCTAGGGGATACATACAGACATCTACGTACCGATCCCTCAGTCTCTACTAAGCTTGTTCGTGAATTGTGAGACCTACGTAACTAGGGCTTTGGTACCAACTTGACACGACCTGAATTTTCCACCCTCGAGAGTCGTGATGGCACCTGCTAGTTAAAGTTAGGCAAGCCAACCATTATAATTATTTACCTGTTTCCATTTTTAAATCCTTTAATAGTTGTGAATTAACATTTCATAATCAGTGGATAAATAAGGTGGAAGAATGAAATATAGCAATTTAGTATTAATACCGATAACAAAATCCATAAACCAAAAACTACCCGGATCTGGTGTCACAATTTCACAGACTATCTAAGAGTACTACAAATAAGAGTTTGAAAGATAAATACAAGATGTTTTAGAAATACATAAGAGAAACAGTATAGAAAGGTGGAAGGAGACACCAAGGCTGTAGACGCCTGCAGGACTACCTCGGGTCACCTGATGGACTGAAGCAACAATCTCACTGTGGTCCAAAAGTTGCAGCACCAGGATCTGCACACAGTGTAGAGTATAGTATCAGCACAACCGATCTCATGTGCTGGTAAGTGCCTAGCCTAACCTCGGCGAAGTAGTGACGAGGCCAGGACAAAACTACCAAATAAACCAATGCAATTAAATCATATACAACGGAAAATAAAAGCAGAAACTAGCAGTTAAAGATGGGAAGGGGAAACATGTTGTTGTGAGCACGTGATTTTTGCCCTATATGAATTGCTCCTATTAAATTAAAAAAATAGATTTTTTCAATTATTTGCCATTTTATAGGATTTTATAGGATGTTTATTAATTGTTTGCATTTTTGTGCACGTCTAATTTTTATTTTAATTATAAAAAAATACCAAAAATATCATGCATTGCATTTGGGATTTATTTTTATATTTTTAGAATTAATCAGTAATTATTTGCTTTATAAAAATTTGAAAATCACAAAAATAGCTCATTTTTATATTTTTTGTGTTTTACTTTTAGTTTATTGAATTTCCTCTTTTAATTTAGAATTAAGTAATGTTTACAAATTTTATAATTAGTTAATTAGTTTAATTTTACATTTTTAGATAATCTAGGACTTTAATTTTAGGATTTTTAATTAAAGAAGAAGAAAAAGAAAAACAAAGGAAAAGGAATGAAAGCGGGATTTTAATATAAATTGGGCTAATTCTTGTATCCAAATCAGGCTCGAATCCCAGCCTAAAAACTACCCAAACCCGTCCAAACTACCCAGGCCCAAACACCGACCCGACCCGCCTGACCCAATAACCCATTCCCCCCTCATTAAATCGCAACCCTAAAGACTTTACCCATCAGGTCCCTACCCTGAAGAAGCTAGAAACCACGCTCCATTCTCCTCTCAAAAGAGATGAAACTTGACCCCTTCTCCTTCACTCTGTCAACGGCGCACCCCTCTCCATTTTTCAACAAGAGACGAACCTTATTGTTCTGCCTTTTGATTTGTTTCAAGCTTAATTTTCGAAGCTGTAGTGCTAATGTCAATGTTGATGGGAAAATTGTGAATTTGGGTCTCTGGAATACTGCTTAAAATCGGCTGGGACTGACATGGTCATGGTTGCTGCTGTTATTTTGTTGAAGGCTTGTAACTGGGTTTTCATTTTTATAGCTATTGTTTCTTGCCTTCATTTGACTCACTCTAGTGCTGTCTTCCGTTCGATTTAGGTAAGTTCCGAATCTTACTTGTATTACATCTGTATTGAGTGATTGAATTGTTAAATCTCTTATGTGATTTTACGGATTTGCTTGAGTTTCACAATCAAATGTCCAGCAATGTGTGTGGTGTTTTAATTTGGGAAAATACTGAAAATAGTGAAATAGATTAAAATGACACCTACATGGGTTAATTTCCAATTCTTAATTTCGGTTGGAATACTGTTATTGTTTGTTTGACTATTCTAAGTTCAATTGCATTTTTTTAGTTTGAAACTAGGTACAGTAAATAAAATTCCCATGTGAAGCCATTTTTGAGATATGCGAATTTTACTCATAATTTTAAACTTGGTTGATCTTACGCAAGGCTACATTTCTGTTGTGAGTTTAAGAAGATTAAGGAAGCTAGTGGTGCTATTGTGCTTACAGCTTAGGTTTGGTTTTATTAGTTGCGCCTTTTGAGGCTTTTTGTTAAAGTCATTGCTTTCAATTAGCCAATGGAGTATTTAAACCTTGGGATTTACTGCTTTGAAATACATTTGAGATGTTTCAGTGTATTGGGATGTTGACTGTTAAATCGCCTATTGATACAAATTAGCATATATTTTGAATGCTTTTGGCTGTTAGTTTCATGATAAAAAATGGGAGCCATCTTTTCTCCTCCAAAAAATGAAACCAGCGGCAGACTTTGAGAATTGCTAAACAAAGAGAAAAAAAGCAAATCTTAAAAATTCCAAAGCTAAGAAGTCGTTTGCAGCAAACAAAAAAAAAGGCAAAGTTATCATGTAAGATCTTTGAAGCATACAGTTTCACATTAGGCTACTAACATGTACAGTAACATCTAATGTAAGGCAAAAATGAAATAATTTTAGTAATATAAACAAAGTGTGTCGTCTCATTAAGATGCGAAATATGTTGTTGGGATTAATTAGCTTTAGAAAAATAATTAATTAATATCGTAGTTTGCTTTAGGCGTGATTAATAAACTATTGTAACTATGGGTACAGTTCCCGTGGCATGGGTGCCTAATTCCAAAATTCGGGGGTGCATTTCATGTAACTCGATTATAATAACTTCGAATAAGAAAAACCCTTTGAAATAATTTGAAGCGTGCCATGCCAAATAAAATCCCTAAACTCATGGCCCTCATTTAATTAATTTTAATCCTTTAGAAATCGAGGTGTGCCATTTAGCTGAATTTTCCATGGCCCTCGCAAACTTGAAATGCGTAGTTGCTTTAGGCGCGCTATTTAAATTAATTTCCTTAAACTCGGGTGTGCATTTCATGTGACCCAAATCCAAATCTCAACAATGTTAAATAAAATGTGTCGTGGACTGCGGGTGCATTTCATGTAGCGTAGTTCAAGACGTGTTTTAGATAATGTTGAATCTTCCTAAAATAAGTTAAAATGTACCATATGCTGAAACATGTATTAAAATCAGATAATAGGCCAATTATAATAGTTTAAGCAACCGTGCTAGAACCACGGAATCCGGGGGTACCTAACACCTTCCCTCGGGTTAACAGAATTCCTTATTTAGAATTTCTGGTTCGCAGGTTTCAAAAGGAAAGTCGAAATTTCCTCGATTTGGGATTTGAAATAAATCGGTGACGTGAGACACCAAATAAACTATCCCAAGTGGAGACTCTGAATTGAATAATTAATCCTATTTCGGATAATGTCACTTAAATTGGAAAAACTCCGTTGTATACCTCTCGAGGTTTAAAAAGGAGGTGTGACAGCTGCGAGGAAACAACAAGTAACAAAAGGAAAACAACATATAAATGTAAAGAACACCATAATTCAATTATCAACAAGAATCGAAAATCCAAGACAAGTGCACGACATCACCCTTCGTGCTTTTACTCTCGTCCTCACTATAAGAATCAATATAATCTGCACGACATCACCCTTCGTGCATTTATTCCCGTCCTCACCATAAAAAAAATCAATATAATCGGTACGGCATCTCCCTTCGTGCTTTTACCTCACATAATCATGGCACGGAATGATCCTTCGTGAATTGTCACTCATATCATGGCACGGAATTGTACATCGTGCGGTACGACATCACTCTTTGTGCATTAACACTCTCTCACAATATCGGCACGGCATCACCCTTCGTGCATTAACACTCTCTCATAAATATCATGCACGATATCACCCTTCATGCTTTAACACTCTTCCTTACCCAAAAAATAATCACAAAGAAATAAGGGCAAGGGAATCAATAAAATCACAATAAAATTTCGGCAAGGGAACAATAGTATAACAACAATATCCCGGCAAGGGAAACAATATCATAAATAATAACGTCCCCGCAAGGGAGATAATATCAAAAGCAACAACATTCCGACAAGGGAGACAATATCATAAACCTCTTCTCTTTCCCACATTTACTTCACAACTCTATTCACAACTTAAGCCAATGCTCTACAATGTTCAATTGCCAATAATATTTCCACAAATCATTTTACAACTTGAGCCAACGCTCTTCAATGTTCAACTACCAATAATACTTCCACAAGCCTTGTTCAATAATCGAAATCTTCATATAAAGCATGAACAATACGAAACAGAGTCATATTAACCATAGTATAAAATTCATGGGCATGCTTGACACCATCGTATAGATACTCATCACCATGCCTATACGTCGTACTCAATAATTAAACATAGCAAATAAGACACGACTCCTAATCCCTCAAGCTAAGGTTAGACCAAACACTTATCTTGATGCCACGAACACAATTCAATCCTCAACTACCGCTTTACCTCTTGTTTCCACCACCAATTCGCTTGTATCTAGCCACAATTTACTCAACGATATCAATAAATGCTAAATGAATCAATTCTAATGCATGAAAATAGGTTTTATAAAGATTTCCCCAAAATGTCAAAAATTAACCCTAGACCCACATGGTCAAAACCCGAAGTTCGAACCAAAACTCGATTACCCATGAACCCAAATATATAATTTGTTTTGAAATCGGACCTCAAATCGAGGTCCAAATCCCAAAAATTTGAAAAAACCTAAGTTCTACCAAAAATAACAAATTTCCCTCATGAAAACCCTTGATTTTGAGTTGAAATCATATGAAAAAATGTTAAAGATTAATGAAAACGAGTTAGAAATGACTTACAATCGATTTGGAAGAGTAGCTGTCTTTGAAAAATTGCCCAAAGGTGTTTAGGTTCTGAGAAAGTTTGAAAAATGAGAGATTTTCGGCTAAGTCGTGATTTACACAGGCGCAGATATCGCAATTGCGAAGCCTGGTTCGCAAATGCAAACTCGCAATTGTGGCCAAAGCTTCGTAATTGCGAAGGATGGCCTATGTCTGCTTTCTTCGCAAATGCGAACAATGTTCGCAATTGCGGTGCCTGTCAAGGTCGCATTTGCGACATAAGCTAATATGAAGGTTCCCTATCCAGCCAGTCTTCGAAAATGCGAGGGGTTTTTCGCAAATGCAGGCTCGCAATTGCGAGCCAGGCTTGCGAAGCATGCAGATCTGCAATATACCAGCAGTTTTTCCTAAGTTCAAAACACTCTGTGGCCTATCCAAATATCAACCGAGCCCTCGGGGCTCCAAACCAAACATGCACGCAAGTCCAAAAATATCATATGGACTTGCTCATGCAATCAAATCATCAAAATAACATCAATAACTATGAATTTAGCATCAAAATCAAAAACAAATCTCATGAACTCTTAAGTTCCAATTTTAACAACCGATGGTCTGATTCACGTCATATCAAGTCCGTTTCTTACCAAATCTTACAGGCTCGACTTAAATACCATATAAGACCTGTACCGGGCTCCAGAACTAAAATACGGTCCCGATACCATCAAATTCAAACATATTTAAATTTTTGAAAACTCTTATAATTTCAGTCAAACAATTTTCTTCAAAAATTTATTTCTCGGGCTTGGGACTTCGGAATTCGATTCCGGCCATACGCCCAAGTCCATATTTTCCTACGGACCCTCAGGGACCGTTAAATCACGGGTCCGGGTCCATTTACCCAAAATGTTGACCGAAGTCAACTTAAATTCATTTTAAAAGCAAAATTTATCATTTTTCACAGATTTCCACATAATAGCTTTTCGGATACACGTCCGGACTACACACGTAATCCGAGGTGAGACAAAAGGGAGGTTTTAAGGCCTCAAAATATAGAATTTATTTCTAAAATAAGTGATGACCTTTTGGATAATCACAAAAAGCAACCCTTAGGCTTTATGGTCGAATGAGGACTTGCTCGAACTCGAGATAAGGTGGCCCTTGGGCTCGATAGATAGTCCATGAGTGAGAATTTTTTCTAACTTGGGTTAAGGTAGCCCTTAGGCTTTGTATTTTTGCTTTCTTTTGTATCTTTTTCGAGGCCACTTTGTTACGGGTTTCAGGCATCTCCGAGCCGTGTTAAATTGGCCGTAGCTTCTTGGTTCGGGTGTAGCCCAGTGAGCTTGCTACCCTAAGTTATCCAGGTTTGCCTAAGATAATAGTCCCCGAGTGGATATGGTTGTGGCTTCTAAAATTCGAGGGTTGCCTAAAAGATCTGATGCCCTCGACGCTCAATAGTTTGATATGTTCGAGTTTTATTTTTCGGACGGTATTCCCCGAGTGTGGGGTGAATATCCGAACTTTGTTTTAGATCGGCCCTTAGGCTCGTTTCCACAATAGATTGAAAGTATTGAATTGTAAAGTAAAAGAACTTTTTCTAAGACATGAAATAACTGCAAGGAAAAATACTCCTATTTATTCTTGTGAAAAATGATTACACATGCATATATTTTTTAGCCAGGGCTCGAACAACCTATCTGGGTACGGTTCATTCAACCTTTTGGCCCTATCAAGATTCCATCATTTTGAAGTAATTTCCTCGCAACAAAGTTGACATCCAAAGGCAATGCCCCCAGTATTCGAGGTTTATTGTAAGGAACCTCGAATACTGTTAAATGTTGTCTTTGACACCGATTCTTGGTCGGCCTTCGATTCTAAGTTAGCACGATCCGTTGTTGCCTCGTTAAAAAACTTGCTGAAAAATCCAATTGGGACAAAAACGGTTCAAGGAAAAAAGAGTGCAATGCGTGCTTTAAGACCTAAAGCTTTGTGTCGCTCCTTGTCGATAACCTGCAAGTGTCTGTCGAAAAATAGAAAGAATTGAAATGGGGTCGTACCTTCATTTGGATTTCGAATGTTTAATGTGACCTTCCTCAGTACCAAGTCCCCGTGAACTTTGAACTTGATCATTTCTCCTTTCATTTTGTGTAGTATTTCGCCCAAACCCCCTGCCTCTAAGGTCTTCGTTATACGGTTGATATCGATCTCTATTAGACCTTGGTTCTCGGTTGATATCCCTCTTGATTCTCTCCATGGGCCTATTAGTATAAATGGACCCAGAAGGGGTCCCCATTTGATCTTCCTCGACCTTGATCTTCGATTGATATCGATTATATACATCGGCCCGAGTGAATGTTGGATACTCGATCAAATTTTGCTTCAACTGCTATGAAGCTATAAAATTCCGAGCATTGAGGCATTGAGTGAAAGCTTGAACATCCCAATCATCGGTGACCGGTGGCAAATCCATTCTTTCCATTTGGAATCGATCACGAATTCCTTGAGCATCTCGTTGTCCTTTTGCCTTACCTTGAAAATGTTTGACTTTCACATTGCAACCTTAATGGCTCCGGTATGTGCCTTTACAAAAGAATTTGCAAGCATAGAAAACGAATCAATAGAATTAGGCGGTAAATTATGATACCATATCATGGCACCCTTCGATAGAGTCTCCTCGAATTTCTTCAGCAATACAAACTCAATTTCGTCATCTTCCAAGTCATATCCTTTGATGGCGCACGTGTATGAGGTGACGTGTTCATTTGGATTAGTCGTCTCGTTATACTTAGGAATCTCAAGCATACGAAACTTTTTGGGGATTGGCTTTGGAACCGCACTTGGGGGGAAATGTAACGACCCGACCGGTATTTTTGAGAGTTATAGCCCATATCCCCTGTTAACAACTTCCCACATCTTTTTCTGCTATTGCAACTTGCTGGGAGGTTTCGTTTTGGTTTTTGGAGTGTTTTATGACACTTAGTCCCTAAATAGAGGCTTAAGTCTTAGGATTTGGACTGTAGTTGAAACTGTGTGAAAATGACTCCGAAATGAAGTTCTATCAATTTCGTTAGCGCCGTTGTGTGATTTTGGGCTTTGGGGCGGATTGGGATTGTGTTTTGGAGGTCCGTAGCTTATTTAGGCTTGAAATGGCAAAAGTCAAAATTTTGAAGATTTGTACCGGTAGTGGAATTTTTTATATCGGGGTCGGATTCTAATTCCGGAAGTTGGAATAGGTCCATAATGTTGAATATGACTTGCGTGCAAAATTTGAGGTCATTCAGACGTTGTTTGATAGGTTTCGGCATCGGTTGTAGAAATTTGAAGTTTCTAGTTGTTTAAGTTTGAATTGGAGGGTGATTCATGATTTAACGTTGTTTGATATTATTTGAGGGCTCGACTAAGTTCTTATGGTGTTTTAGGATTGGTTGGTATGTTTGGTTAAGGTCCCAGGGCCTCGGGTGAGTTTCGGGTGCATAACAGATCAAAAGTTGGATTTGTGTTGTTGCTGAAGTCTTCTGGTATTTGGTGTTTTCGCACCTGCGGTGGGGAGACCGCAGTTGCAGGATCGCACGTGCGGAGTGAAGGGCGCATATGCGGAGTTTGGAGGCTTGACCAATGATCACAGGTGCGAGGGAAGTACTGCATCTGCGATGCCCGCAGATGCGCCTAAGGAATCGTAGGCATGGAGGAGGACCGCAGAAGCGTACAGTGTTCCACATGCCCTTGCCGCAGATGCGGACCCAGCCCTCATAAGTGATTCTCGCACCTGCAATGGATTTCCCACAGGTACAGTTGAACGCTCGCAGAAGCAAGTTCACTTGGCAGAAAAGAGAATTTCGAGGGTTTTATCCCCTTTTCAATTTTTGGAGTTGAGAGCTCGGATAAAGGCGATAATTCAAGGATTTTTAGAGAGAATTTTGGGGTAATGATTCCTAACTCATTTTTGGTTGTATTCCATTAATCTATAGTTAATTTCATCGTTAAATTAAGGAATTTGGGTGAGAGATTTGGGGAATTGTGGAAGTTCTTCAACGAAGTTTTTGAGTTTTGATTGGGATTTTGATGTCGGATTTGGATAATTTTGGTATGATGAACTCGTGAGTGAATGAGTGTTCATATTTTGTGACCTTTACCTAATTTTGAGACGTGGGCCCGGGGAGGCTTTTTGAGCGGTTTTCCAATTTCTTGCTTTAACTTTGATTTCATTAGCTAGATTAGTTCTTTGTAGTTATATTTATGATATGTAATTGATTTTGGCTAGATTTGGGCCACTCGAAGCTGGATGTTCGTGGAAAAGGCATTGTGACTGATTGGTCGATATTTTAGATAATGTTGTGTACCATATATTTGCTCATGTTCTATGCATACAAGATAACAGGAGCTCAATGCACATTGTCGTGAAATGAAGATTGTTCTTTTGCAGCAACAAGAAAGTAACTATCGTTTACCGGTCATCCTTGTTCATTAGTGGTTGGGGAGTTCTCTCCAGACTACTAGGTCAAGGGTTCAATACTGGTACAAACAATCTCATAGAAAGTAACTCTCGTTTTAATTGGTGTTTGTATATGACCGTGCTCGAGGACAGTCATATGTCTTGCACCTTACCATATGCCCCGCTTTTACTAGTCGTGAATATCGACAGATCAGTAGGGTGTTAGTCTAATTTCATTTCTATTGTTAAAATTTCAGGAAGTAAAAGTAAAAGTTGTTATATTAAGAACAATTGATCCATCTACTGATTCTTGCATGCCTCTTGGTGATGAAGCATGACATTCCCCTTATTTATCTTCATGTCAATATGTTAATTTTCTCTGTATGTGTATAAAGCAAGGGTCCATTCATGTCCCATGTTAAGTCCAAGTGCACCAATCCCAGCCGATGTGGGAAACCAGCACCCCTCGCACGTCCACGACCGGACAACTGGAGCGTGGACTATATAAGATGGGGGCCCAATATCGGGTGAACAAAGAAATGGGATGGGCCTGGCTTTGATACCATCTTGAATTGTGTGATCATCTCATCTAAAAGCTTAAGCTGTTAGAGAGAGCACAGTTTTATTTACTTAATTATGTCTTCAACATATATATTCTAAAATTAGTCTTAATGATTAGCAGGATTTCCTAACAGGCAGCCGCTTTCTTCAGGACTAATTTTGGTGCTTTCATTGCTGCTAATAGCTAATTCTAAATTTTCTTCTGGAGTATGTTATTATCCTTTGACATGAGCTGAGTGAATTTGTAGGATAGATTTTAGGAAGCAAATTTAGCTACCATGATCATGAGACTAATCTAGGAGTACTAAAGACCATGGTAATATAGGGGAAAGAGATCTGAAATAAGCTTTGTTTAAGAGGACCCTGCTCTTCTGAGATGGATAAAACTGCAGCTTTTGTCATCTGCAGTTTGTATAGCTTGACTTTTTCTTAGAATTCTTTATTCATTCTGCTTTATCTTTCAAAATTTTGATGTTATAGAAGTTTACAAATCACCAAGTGAGAAATGAAAAGTATTTAATGCATTTCTAGTGTAACTCTATCTGTTATGTCATCAACCATCTATTTTTATACTTTGGAACTTTGACCTTTTAGTGTAGTGAAGCAATTCAAGCAAGGAATAGCTAATCCTTGTAGGAAAAAAATGTCAAGAGCTCGTCACACTTGCATTGACTTATATTTTGGTTCTATTTGTTGATTTGCGTCTTTCTAAGCCCACAATATCAAGAGTTCAACACAGGTGCAATGACTTGTACTGTGGTTCCATTTGTTGTTATGCATCTTTCTGAGCCATTAAATTGAGGATGCAAGGTAGATTTGAGGCGTAGGCCAAGGTAACTTATTGTACATTAGTGAAACAATATGAAGGAAAACAAAAAAGAATCCAAGAGGTGCGCATATGTAAAGCTTCCAGCTCTAAATCAACTTAATGCCCCACATTTTTGCAGCATAATTTGTTGCACATGGATCAGCATGAGAATTGCTTGTGACTTATTCTGAACTTTTATTCTTAACTAGGTATACCTACTTGAAGTTGCACCGCCCTGCTGTCTAGACATTGAAAAATTAATTTTTTTCCATATTCAATGCTTAATTTTGAATGGAAGTGCCTGTTAAATGTCTTAACTGTAGTTGTTAGGTAACCGGAGCTTGTCTTTATTTTGTTAAGCAAGACAAACAGTTGCTAATGGAAGTAATTTTTGCTACAAATTATACATAAGACCGTGCACTGGAATAGGCTGCTTCCTAAATCTACACTTTTGAATAAGTAAATCTACATTGTTTTTACTTGTTATTACATATCAGTGAGGTGTCTTTTCTTTACCATTGGCCTTTCAGCAGGCGAAAGCTGCTGTTAGGAACAACTAATCCATCCCCTACTGATGACACAGATCAAAATGATGAAGCATGTTCTTTCCCTGTTCTCAAAAATTTCACAATCAGAGAATTTTCCCTTTAATTAATATACCTGAATTCGTGTTGGTGGAGGAGAGCATTATAGAGAATTTACTCAACTATTTATTTTCTAGACCGAGGATGTGGTGTTTGACAAGGAACTTCAAGTAATTTAGGAGTTACTGGAAAATGCATATTGAGATTTGAGAGCATTGTTTTATGGAAATTGATTTAAAAAAATAATTTAAAATTGAAAATGATTTATTACACCAAGTTGGTGAGAAGTTAAATAGGAAAAATGAATGAGCTTTATTCAAGTTCTCTAATAGGATACATGAAAGTTACTTGTGGTGGTAAAAAAAAATAGAATTTTTTTAATAGTACAATCTTTAAGACTATAAGAGGATTAAAGAGAACATTTATGTTCTAACATCTGGTTTTATTTTATTTTATCGTGCAGTTAACAAAAATAGAAAGGCATGTCAATTGTTAACATCACTCAAACTTTAGATGATACATTTAAGCTACTCAATTGTTAGCGGTTTAAAAGCAAAATTGGATCTCGCTTAGGGACGAGGCACTCGTCGTGTAAACCTTCGCTTCAAATGTTTTAACGCAAACCCAAAACACCCAGTGCACGAGGCTCGTGTTGACACGATGCAGTACTTAGCTTCTAGTCCTAAACACAAATTTAGTGGCTAATCATATAATAGACCATTGTATTTATTTTTGACCATTTCTGTAAAAAGTAGCTAGTGGTTCAGCTTGTATTAGTTAGAGGTTTATTTTTTAATGGGCACCCGACCGAGGCCCACTACATAAATATATGGTGCTGGGTCTAGAATGATCCATCGGGCCATTTTCTCACATTTTTATTTTCTCAAATTGAGCAAATTTCCTCTCTTGTTTTGCGATGAACCCTAATGAGATTTCCCTATTCCTGCTCGATCTAGAATGTTGTCATGGTATGCCAAGCTGTCCCAGGCTTTATGTTCTAGGGGTTACACTTATTCACTCAATGACTACTCCCTGTTTGTTAAAGGTAGTCCTAGGATTTTGGTTCTTCTAGTTGTCTCTATTGATGATATTATCACTATTGGGGATGGTACTGCCGAGATAAAGAAGCAGTTCCTGTATTCTCAGTTTAAGATCAAAGATCTGGGATCTTTGCATTACTTCCTCGGTATTGAGTTGTGTCTTATTTCTGGTAGGGTTGTTCTTAATCAAAAGAAATTTGTTTCTGACTTGCTTCAGCAGTTTGGATGTGCTTCTATCACTCCCGTGGTTTGTCCTTTGGAGTTGAACACCAAATTGCATGTTGATTCATGTGATTTACTGCCTGCTCCTGAGTCATATAGAAGTCTGGTGGGGAAGCTGCTCTTCCTTACTCTTACTCGACCTATATTTGTTTTGATGTCCACAGCGTAAGCCAATTTCTGAAGTCTTCTAGGGTCCTTCATATGCCTGCTACTCTCCGTGTTCTGATTTTCCTATCTTTTCCATTCATGCATATTCAAACAATGAATAGGCTGCTTACCCAGACACCAGGAGGTGACTGAGTTTTATGTATTCTTGGGTGGTAGTCTCATAAGTTGAAAATCCAAGAAGCAGCATATTGTTTCTTTATTTTCCGCTGAGGCTGAATACATGGCTCTAAGTAAGATGGTTGATGAGTTGACTTGGCTCTCCAGGCTCTTGGTTGATTTTGTTGTTCCTGTTTTGCTTCAAATTTCTATTTTTTGTGACAATCAGGCTGCTTTGCATATAGCCAAAAACCATGTGTTCCATGAAAGGATCAAGCACATTGAGATCGATTGTCATTTCATATGGGCTAAGCTTGGTAATGGCTTGATTTAGTTGTCTCATGTTTCTACCACCAAGCAGTTAACTGATGTGCTCACCAAGCCTTTGCCTGGTAATCTTTATCAACAATTCTTGTCCAAGTTGCAGGTCATCACTTGTTTTACAAGTTGATTATGTGTTCCGAGGCAATAAAAACCTCTTTCTGTCTCATCTTGATTTGCGTGCGCAGTCTGGGCACGTTTTTGAATTTTTTTTTTAAGTGAAAACTATGTAAAATATCAAAATTGGCTTTTAAAATTGATATAAAGTTCACTTTGGTCAATATTCTTGGTAAACGGATCCGGACCCGTGATCCGATGGTCTGATAGGGTCCGCAGAAAAATTTGGGACTTGGGCATATGTCCGAAATCGAATTTCGAGGTCCCAAGCCCGAGAAATGAATTTTTAAAGAACATTATTTTCTGGAAAACATAAAGGTTTTTATGAGTGAATTGATGCATTTTCTTGATGGTATCGGCCCCGTATCTTGGTTCGGGAGCCCGATACAAGTTTGAAATAATAATTAGGATGAATATGTAAAATTTGGTAAAGATAAGAATTGGTTTGGTATAAAACGGACCTAAAGTTGAGAAATTGGAAAATTTGATGTTCTTGAGTGATTTCATGAATTTGGGGTTTATTTCATAGTTGTTGATGTTATTTTGGTTATTTGATCGCGCGAGCAAGTCCTTATGATATTTTTAGGTTAGGGTGCATGTTTGGTTTGGAGCCCCGAGAGATCGAGTGAGTTTTGGATAGACCACAGAGTGAAATTGGACTTAGAAAAATTGTTAGTGTGTTGTGCGAGATCAGGCATGACAATTGCGATGCAAGCAGGGGTCACAAATGCGGTGATTTTGTCGCAAATGCAAAGATCCCAAGGCCAGACAATTCTCGCAAATGCAAGTTATACTTCGCAAATGCGAAGTCTTCAGTGCATGCCCAGAAGTCGCAAATGCAACGATTCTTTCGCAAATGCAGCGGAAGCAGGAGTCGCAAATGCGACATATACCTCGCAAATGCGAAGGTAGCAGGGTCCTTAAGGGTTTGCAATTGCAAACCTTGGTCGCAATTACAATATCAGAGACCTGTTAAATGAATTTCAGACGGGATTTCAACCATTTTTACAACTTTCTTAAAACTGGACGATTTTCGAAAAAAAAGTTCTTCTCCAAATCAGTTGTAAGTCATTTCTAACTCATTTTCTTTAATCTATAACATCTTTTCACATGATTTCAATCCAAAATCAAGGGTTTTCATAAGGGAAATTGTGTGTTTTGGGTAGAACTTAGGATTTTCAAAGTTTGGGAATTTGGACCTCGATTTGAGGTTCGATTTCAAAACAAATTATATATTTGAGTTCGTGGGTGAATCGTAATCGGATTTTGATTCGAACCTCGGGTTTTGACTATGTGAGCCCGGGGTCGATTTTTGACCTTTTGGGGAAATCTTTAGAAAACCTATTTTCATGCATTAGAATTGATTCATTTAGTATTTATTGATATCGTTAAGTAAATTGTGGCTAGATACAAGCAAATTGGTGGTGGAAACAAGAGGTAAAACAATTGTTGAGGCTTGAATTGTGTTTGTGGCATTGAAGTAAGTGTTTGACCTAATCTTAGCTTGAGGGAATAGGTATTGTGCCTTATTTGCTATGTGCTTGTGTAGTGTACGATGTATAGGTGTGGTGACGAGTATCTATACGTCGTTGTCAAACATGTCCGTGAGTCTTAAATTGTAATCGTTGTGTTCTTTCTAAATACTATAAATGCCTAAGTTGTTGATTTTCTATATTGGGCAAGAATTATAATTATCCTCGTGGTATTTGGTTGTTGTTGAGTATTGGTTCCAGTTGAGGTTTCACTTGTGAAATTAAATGTTGGTATAAGTTTGGTTATAGCTGATTCCCTTGCCGGGACATATTTAATTCTTACCGTTGGTTCCCTTGCCGGGATGTGCTTATTCTCATTGTTGATTCCCTTGTCGGGACATTGTTGTTTCCTTATTGTTCCCTTGCCGGAATTCATTTGTGATTAGTGTTGAATTGTATATTAAGATCGGGTTGCACACCGCAATAATATTATATGGGATCGGGTTGCACACCGCAATAATATTATATGGGATCGGGTTGCATGTCGCAACAATGATATATGATTGGATCGGGTTGCACGCCACAACAATGATATATGATTGGATCGGGTTGCACGCCG